GTTTTTGCTGGCTATAGCAGCGCTATAGCGCTGCTATAGCGCTGCACAGCAAAAACGCATAAAAATATGCACAAAACCATATAAGGGTGGTAAGCCATTACCATGTAGATATAAACAGCTTTGTGCTACACTGTATAGTTTACTGTTACGGCAAAACGTAGCGCGTTTAGGATGTTAGGACATTTGCAATATAAATTGTGCCCAGAGCTGATAACACACTTGAAGCATTTCTAATAATAAAATTATCATTTTGCAGGTTGATTTTGGCGATATTGGTGATTTATTAAAAGTTCGTATTGAAATTGATGGGAACGGTGAGATGCCAGATTATTTTCTTGACTATGTTGAGCTCAAGGATTTGGATACCGATGAGCGGATGGTTTCATACGTTGCAAAATGGCTTAAAATCGGCCACAGCGAAAAACATGCACAGCCATTCCGCGAATTTCCGGTATTTCGAGCGGCATTTGAGCCACTAACTGGTAATTACAATATTTTTAAAATTTGCAATAGCAATTCCAATTCAGTTTTTAATGGCCCACAAACTATCGCTGAAAATTTTCATCTTTCGGAGAAATTTCGAAGTGTAAAAAAGCGTTACTATATGTACAAGGTGCTTTTAAAACGCTCAGAGAATTCACAGATGCCGAATGAAAAACTGCACAAATTTTTCTAGCAGCAACTTTTCTGTTGACAACTTTCAGTATTTTCCTATGAAGGTAAGATCAAGCTGAGCTCAAGGAGGCGTCGACATTTGAAAGATCCAATTGGATACGTTCAACTATTCGGTGAAATTGGTGAAACGGGTCGTTTCCCAGTCAATTTAGCCTATGCTTCAAATTCAAAAACGGTACTTTTTGAAACACTTTTCAATAAAATTAAATTTTCTTAAAAGTTGTTTTGGTTAAAGTCAAACATATGGGCGCCTTTTTATTTTACTTTAGCCACAGCATATTTTTTCAGGAAATTTCATTCAAAGCAGAGGCTGTATCAATTGGACGAGTGCATAGTACACGGTTATATGTGAAAACCAATGAAATCGGTAAATTCATGAAAATTTATAATTTTTATCCAAAATTTAAACTAACTGCAGTGCACTCTAGACCTGCCAGTGCCATTATGCATTTTTGCACGATTTTGTGCTCAAATGTGACGCGCAATGTTATATATTCCAAAAATCTTCAGCTTCCTAGCCCAACTAGCTCAAAATCGCCTTCTTGTCAAGAATAGTTCATCGTGCCCGTACCCGTGATACATACTCACTCAAACGGCCGTTTCAGCCTACAAACTATGTAATTCTGGATTGTTATGCATTTTGAATAAAGAAAAAATAACAAAGTGAACAGGTCCTAATTAGTTGGCAAATAGAAAGAAAAAACAAGGGAAATAGAGTAGGTAAATAGATAAATAGAAGGAAGATGGATTTAAATCCTAATTTTGCCTCCTAATTTCCAATTTAAGGATTACGTCATTTGAAAGCAGATGCACAAGTATGCATGAACAATTGCACTCACAAATACAC